CAGAGTGAGGGGAGGAAATTCTTGCCCCGGGCCTGGGCCGCTCGCTCCGTCAGAAAAGACCCGCCAAACTGGGGGAGGCGGAAGGGCGTGAGCTCCAGGCCGAGCCGACGTAGCCGGGACCCTAATAAAGGGAAGGGAGCAATTTCTCGTCACCGTATTTGATGTCCACTCTGGGCCATTTCCCGAGAGAGGCATCCTGAAGAAGCCTGTCTGCGTCCTGCTTCCGGAAACACCTTGTGGAAGGTGGGAGCCACAGAAGGTCGCTGAAGGAGGGAAGGGCACAGCTGTGGCCGGTGAGACCCGGGAGGCCCTGCTCCATCCTAGTCTCTGGTCGAGGGCAGCGAGTTTTGCAAGTGCGGCCCCAGCTGGAGGCAGCCTGGCCTGAAGGCCGTGGGTCCCGCGGGATCCGGGTGACGACAGCCTCTCTGAGCCCGTTTCCTCCTGCGCGGAATGGGGACGACCATGCCGAAGCCCATCTCGCAGGACGGACTGTGGGGGCGAGCTTCAAATAGCCCAGGCCGGAGTCCTCGGTCCAACGTTACCGCTCGGCGGGGGGACCATCGTGCCCTGGAGACGGGCGGCATCTCGTGGCCGCGCGTGGTACTGCTGGCGACTGAGAAATGCTTCCTCCCGCCGGTCCGGAAATCCCACAGCGGGCGGGCCCTGTTCTGGGCGCAGAGTCCAGGCCCCATCAGATTGTGACAAATGCCGTGAAACCACAGTGAAGTGCACATCGATTTGGGAAGAAGGAAGCCCTGCCTTAGATGGGTGGTCAGGGAGGGCCTCTCGGAGGAGGTGATGCTTCGGGGGACTCGAGACCCTTTCATGTGAGAATCGAGGGGCAGGCAAGCGCCCAGGCTGGGGGGCGGCGGTGGGCCTGGTGTGCGTAACAGACGGGAGGCGGCTCGTGGGGCTGCGGGGTGACGAGAGGGAGGGGAGATGACACGGGCAGGGAGAGGGTGTGAGCAGGCCAAAGGGAGAGGACGCTGGGGCAGCGGACCCACTGGGGCGGCTGTGACACACTCACTTGGGACCCGACGGGGGTGGGTTCAGTTACGCGTTGTCACTTAACAGGCGGCCCCAGGCTGGTGGCTCCACTCCATGAAGATTGTCCCAGGCTCGGCGGGACAATCTCGGTTCCACGCAGTGTCTGTGGGAGCTGGGACGTCGAGGACGGCATCTTCCCTCACGGTCCGGCTCCCGAGCGGGAGGGTCTGGGTCTCCTGCGGCCGGTGGGCTTCCCCACAGCGTGGTGGACTCTCCCCTGGGGACGGCTCGCCCGACAGTGCCGTCTCTGGAGAGGAGCGGCCACGGGATCCAGGAGGAGCGGGCGTGTCGGGGGACGCGGGTCCCGGTCCACATCCTCCCTCCTCAGGCCCGGTCCCCCACGTGAAATGAGTGAGCGTGTCAGGCGCCGACCAGAATCGGGGTGCTTTTCTCTGCAGGCTGCTCGATCTGGAGTTATTTAAAAACAGATCTGGTGGAGGAAGTCTCAGGGACTGGAGAGGGTTGTTGGACTGCTCCTTCATTTCTTACCCCCCTCTCTTTTCTTTTGTGGGGATCTCAGTGCACAGAATTAGGTTAACAATCACGTGTTATTCCTAACATATGCTCATCATGGGTCCACATGTGACCCTCTGGTATCTCATCATTGCGTCGTCTGCCCACGGGGTCGTTCACTCCTTCATAAAGGAAAGGACCCTAGGAGGTCGTTACCCAACCCGAGAATAAGAACAAAGCAGAACTGCCCTCACGATCGCCCAGCAACACCGTCCCTGCTCTCTCCGTGCAATCTTATCACGTGCACGTGCGCACGCGTGGACTTCATTTTCCTGATTATTTGTGGCCCCCAGTATCTGCTCATGTTTCCATGTAACTTTTCCGCTGCGAACTGTCTCTTCATGTCTTTTTCCTATTTTTCACTTGGTTTATTCTCTTTCTTATGGACGTGCAGAAGTTCTTTATATATTGTGGGTGCTAATTTTTTATGTGTGTGACAAATGTCTTCCCATTTGTGACTGGAGTTTTCATTTTATTTCGACGTCTTTTGATGATCAGAAGTACTAAATGAATATGGTTGAATATTGGTCATTTATGATGAGCGCGTTCTCGTCTTGTTAAATAAAATCCTTCTCTACCGAAGGGCAGAAGGATGGCTACCTTATTTTTTTTCTGTAAGTTTTAAAGTTCTGTTTTGACATTCAAGTCTTGGGTTCCTTTAGAGTTGATTTCTGTGCGTGGCGTGAGGCAGGTGTGATAGGAACAATGACGGCCCCAGAGACTCCACATCCTAACCCCTGGGCCTGGGAGCATGTTCACTCACGTAGCAGGGGGACCTGCCGACGTGGTCACGGTTACAGACCTGGAGGGTCCAGGAGGCCTGGGTTAATCGTGCGGGTCCTCAAAAGCCGAGGCCCTTTCCCAGCTGTGATCAGAGAGATAAGGAGGAGGAGAGAATGGACTGGAGATGAGGCCGGGGCCATGGGCCGAGGAACATGGGCGCCTCTGGAGGGTGGGAACAGCCCTCCGCTGACAGCCGTCAAGGAGATACCCCGTCCCCCACTGGGAGGAGCTGATTCTGCCAACAGCCGAGTGAGCCGGAATGGACCCTCCCGGGAGCCTCCAGAGGGAACCAGCCCTGCCAACGTCCTGATTTGAGCCCAGCGAGACCCACTTCAGACTTCCGACCTCCAGAGCTGTCAGATAATAAATTCCTGCTGTGTAAGCCTCTAAGTTTTTGGGGATTTTTTTACGCAGCAATAGAAAAACAGTCCAGTGGGGATTCGATTTTATTTTCTGCAGTACGCGAGCCCCAGGTCCCAGCACCATGCGAAGAGCGTCCCTCCTCTCCCGCCACCTGCCGTCCCCTCTGTCGCCCATCGAAGTTCCCCACCCCCTCAGCCTATTCTGGTTTCCCTTTATCTTCTGCTCGGGACAACGTCACCCACGTCCAGAAATCCCCACCCTGGACTCGGCTCCTTGGCTGTGAGCTTTCTTGTTTTTCCTCGAGTTTGGGCAGCACAAATGGACCCTCTGGCTTCCCCTTCAGGGGCTGGCAGGGCTCTGACCTCTGTGTGACCCCAGATCAGGGCCTGGCTGGTTCGGGGCAGCGGGAGGGTGATGCGGCCGGCCGGGAACGCCCCTCTCTTGCAGAGTCATCCCAGGAGCAGAGCACAGAGCGACGCCTGCCTTGGCGAGCGCCTGTGGACCCTGGAAATGGCAGATACGGCCTTCAGCTCATCTGAGTTTCAGCGAGCTGCCTTTAGTGGCAAAGCGGACTCGTCGTTGAACAAAGATTTCTTGTAGGACTTGCAACAATGACAGATCCGTCTGGTTGCAACCACGTGGATTCATCTTTTCGTGGAAGGCACCTGCCCATCTCAGTCGGGTTTAGCTGGGGAGGGACATAAGTCAGCGGGCGCAGGTGAGGGTTGGGACCCTTCGGGCCAGTGGAGGGGGTTTCCCGAGGGTCTCCCAGATCCGACCAGATGCTCAGAGGCCCTTCTGCCTGGAATCCTCCAACAGCCCCTTCCCTCTCCCCCTTTCCTGACGGCTGAGGGCGAGTCCCAGCCCAGAGGGGCGGGACAAGGAGCTGGAAGGGGCTCTGCAGACGGCGGGTGACGGACTTGCTCCCCCACACAGCGAGGGTCCGCTCCGGCCCTCGGGACGGCCAGCCTGTGCCAGCGACGCCACGTGCCCAGGGAGGGGCGAGGCCCTCGAGGAGCTGCCCGTGTGGACTCGGGGGCAGGGCTGGGCAGGGAGGGCCCAGGCCGCCGGACGGTCACAGAACTTGAGTCTTGACCGGTGAGCAGGAAACAGCCAGGTGAAGAAGGGGAAGTCGTGCTGGGCAGGGGCCCGGGGTGGCAGAGGCAGGGGATGCGGCTCCCGGGACGTCCCGCGAGGAATCCCCTGAGGCTGGAGCCTGGCGTCTGGGCTGCGAGGAGCCTTTGCAACGATCACTTTGCTTTGACAACATAAGACAGTCTGTTCTGAACACCAGCTGAAAAGGTGTGTGTCAGTCAGGGGGCTTTTGGCCGCAAGGAACAGAAAACCCGCTGCAACAACTTAGTCCTAAGAGATGGATTGTGTCGAGTGACAGGAAGCCCAGACACAGCAAAGGCTCCAGGGCTGCTAAGTTCAGAGGCTCAACAAGGACACCAAAGACCCATCTCTCAGTTCAACGTCCTCAGGCCTCATGGTCACAAGGTGGCTGCCTGAGCTCTAGACATCACAGACAGTCCCAAAAACGACCAAGAAGAGACGGCATCCCTTCCTCATGTCTCCTTTCAAGAGAGAAGAAGCTGCCCCTCCAAGCCCCCTGCAGATCCCCCTCAGGTCTCATTCCTAAGCTGACCCTGGTGAGCTATGACACCAGGACCGACTCCTCCGTCGGAGCACAGATGGGGTCTCTTACTAGGAAAACATGCAGAATGGGGTCGGGTACGTTCCAGCACGGACCCTGCCCCCAGTCTAACCATTCATTCAACACCTCCTCCCCAAGAGCCTCCTGCAGGCTGGGCGCGGCTCCAGGCACCGGGACACGCGGAGGACGGAGGCTCTCGGCCCCTGGTGTGGGGAGGCGACTCTCCACGAGGCAGAGACAGACACTGAAGGAGAGAACAACATCGTTTTAGGTGATGCCAAACGCCACGGAGAAATCAGGACGCTGGGATGCAGAGAAACCCGGGGATGCGGCTGCCTTTCCAGGGAGGAGCCCGGCCAGACGTGTGTGGGCAGAGGGACCAGCCAGTGCCAAGCCCCGAGGTGGGTGCAGGCCGGCGGGCAGAGTGACAGGAGAGGACAGAGTGAGGGGCTGAGTCCGGGGTGGGGGGGGCGGCCCCCGTGATGAGCTTCTGTGACGTCAGGTGAGGGGCAGCCTTGGGCTCTGGGGGTGGAATGCGGCCGGCCGAGAATGCGGGAGGCCATTCTCTCGTTGCCGGGCGACCACAGACACACTTGGGTGGTGGGGGGCAAGGCCGCAGGGCCGGGAGGCCCAGTCCATGGGGGACCACTGGCCGAGTTCGCTCCACAACCCCCGAGGCTCGAAGGCCGAGGGTAGGTCGGAAGGGGGGCAGGACGATGATGCCCTGGGCCCCCGCAGCACCGCGTACGAGAGCCGAGGGTCCAAGGACCTGGATGGCAGGGGACAGGGATCCCCAGACCAAGAAGAGGAGGTTCCCCCGGAGGAGGTGACCGGGGAGGCGTTCCTGGACCCCCAGGACCCGGAAGACGCCCTCCAGGAGCTGGAGCGAGTCCTGCAGAAGGATGAGCATGGCGTGCAGGAGATGAGGTGGGCGGTGGGCTCGGGGGGCAGTGGGGAGCGGTCTTTGCCGTGGTGTCCCGGAGAGAGCCAGGCGCTCCCTCCCGGCAGATATCCTGGTGCTGACCCTCCCATGGTCCCTGGGCCTCCCGGGGGCCCCTTTGTAGCTCAGTCCCCCCACCCCGGGGCCTGGCATACAGTCGGCACTTCACACGTGCTCGTGAGATGAGTAAACGTCTTACTTTGTAATCGCAACTGTCCAGGGGTGGGAGCCAGTCTCTCTTCCGAGGGAGCCGAGGGGACCTGGCCGGTCACACGTCCGGCTGGTGGTGGAGCCAGGGTTTCAGTCCAGCTCTCGCCCCTCCGGAGGGCGAGGAGACCTGGGGGGCGGGCGGGAGCCCAGGAAAGAGGGGTGCAAACAGCTCCGACCTCACGACCCACTCTCCCACAGCCGGCTGTCCATCACCCAGAGGTCCCCGGGCACGGCCACGGCCCGGGGGAGGAGGAAGAGGAGGCGGCTCTTCGAGCTGGCGAAACCCAAGCCCAACTGGCAGGTCCTGAGAGACAGGTGAGGCTGGGGGTGGCGTTGCCGGAGGCCGGGGTGGGCTGGTGAGGAGGAGAGCAGCCCCTGGTGTCCCCTCCGCATTCTCCCCGGGGCCGCCCGGGTCCCCCTGCTCGGCCCCCTTCTCCATCGTCCCCCGTGCCTGAGGCAGCGAGCAGTCAGGCGGCCAGAGGGGGGACTCGCGGGGCACGGGGGCCCGTGGCGGCCTCAAGTGCCAGCAGAGGAGAGGAGACGCGGGAGAAAAGGCGGGGGCCGGCCTGTCTCACCCAGGCTGGGATGCCGCTGTAAGGGCTTTGCCTGGATCTCCCCCTGCATGAAGAGCCTGCAGTTCTGTGTCTACTGGTGAGTCCCGGGGCGCCTCCTCCCTCCGTCTCCGCCCACATCAGGCGCACAGCCAGGCTCCAGGGGTCCCCACACTTGACCACCCTCCCCGTCCCTCCAGGGACAAGCATGGGGGGCTCCCTAAGGCCCCCGGTGCTGTGGACTCCGGCCCTCCCAGCCGCGCAGGGGTCTGCTCCTGCGAGGTGGCCCTGGGCTCTTTGTTTCCCAGCTCCCGCTTCTCTGAGCGTCAGCCTTGCTCAGAATAACCCCCATTTCCCCGTGGCTCTCAGAGTTCCCCCAGCCCCCGTCAGGGCTGTCCGCTCCTGCTCCTCCACGTTCCCTCCTTCCTCCTCCAGCCTCCCCGCCCTCGCCTCGCCGCCTCCCTCCTGCGTGCGTGTCTGTGTGGACGGGGCGCCCTGAGTTCTGTTTCAGAGCAGCCCCCCTCACCCTGAGCCACGCCTGGCTGTGTTCCAGGCCCTCCACGTACTGGACGGACAGGTTTCTGGAGGACACCACCCTCACCGTCACCGTGCCCGGTAGGTCGGCCCTGCCACTGCCTCCACCTCCCCGTCAGGGGCTGTGCCAGCCCTGGTGCCCGGCCACCCGTCTGTGTGGGGTCCCCCCATCTCCCAGGAGTGTCTGTCCCCCCCCAGACTTCAGGGGTCTCATATCTGGACTCTGTCCCCTGAAGAGCCAGCTGGAGGTTGGTCCTGGGGTGAGGGTGTGGGGCAGACTCTCCGGGGGGACCCCAATTTGCACCAAGAAGGGGGTTAGTGTTGACTTAACGAAAGGACCCTTCGTCTTCCCTTCCACAATGGTTTCCGCACTTTTTGAGAGCAGTGGATCCCTTCAAATAAAGCATTTCAAGAAAGCTCGTTTTTGGAGAGAAGTGACAGGGCAGGTCCCCTCCCGGGGGTTTTAGAATCACCCACAGTGAACACGAGGCCCCTGGAAACCCTAGGCCTCTAGTAACTTCAGACCCAAACCCCCTTTCCTGACGGGCGGGTCGTTGGAGCGGCCCGAGCCCTGCTGAGGAACAGACGGGCCTGAGCTCCCCGTCCAGCCTGAGGCTCCCATCCCGTGTGCCCCGAGTACAGGGCTTCAGGCCTCAGAGCCCATTGTCCCCAAAGTGGGGACAGCAAGTCGCCCCTCTGCGAGGTGTCTGGCGCTGAGCCGTCCGGCCCGCAGTTCCTCACGGGCGCCTCTCGCTGGAGCCCGTGGAAAGAGCTCAGGGGGACAGACACCCCGGGGCGGGCGGGTTTTCAGCTGGCGCTGTCTCCTTTTGCCCAGCGGTGTCCCGCCGAGTGGAGGAGCTGGCTCGACCCAAGAGGTTCTACCTGGATTATGACAGCGGGAGCAGGTAGGAGGGCGGGCGGCGGGCGGGCTGCCGAGAGAAGCCGCTCCCTGCCCTCGATGGGGCGTGGCCGGGGCGGGTCCAGGTCCCGGGTCTCCAGTCCTCCGGGCCATGCCCGACCGGACGTGACCCTCCGAGGCTCGGCTCTGTGCCCGTAGAAGGGGCGGGAGGGGAGATCGTGCGCAAAGGGTGCTTAGCACAGTGAGTGAAGACTGTGTGCAAAGGTGCTTAGTACAGAGTGACAGGGTCCGTGTTCCGTAATGTCACTTGTCACGAGTGTGGACATTGTTGGCTCCGAAAAGCCAGCAATTGTAAGACGTGGTTATTTTACGTGCAACAGAGGACACAAGTCTTTATCACCTAGAACTTTCACGCTCATTAAAAGTGATCTTTAGAGCTAATTAGACACAGATTTTCATCCCCTGTCTTGACGTGTACACAGAAAGGAAAATACGACTGGAATAAACTAGCTCGTGTTTCGAATTACTTTTCAGCTCAGAGAGGCTGACGTGTTCCACACACTGTTTTCATGTCTGTCTTGGTGACAGTGGCTTTACATTTAAGGCCGAGTTGTAGTGCGATCGGGAGGTAATTTAAACGGCAATTAGACTCAACCTCTGCAGGACCAGGAACGTTGTTTCAGCGTAAACAGCTGCCCCCGGCACACACCGGCGACGGTGACGGTGACGGTGACGGTGGCCCGGCTGACAGCGTTTATAGCCGTATCCCAGCCTCAGAGAGGTGGACCCACGGGGAGGGTCGGCCTCAGATCAGAAATGCGGCTCCGTTTCCGGAGCCGAGGCGTCGCTGAGCTGTGATGCTGGAAGGCTCCGGCCCAGAGAGCTCAGGGGAGGTCCACTTTCCTGATTCTGTGGACGCCCCGTTTATCCCGCGCCAGACCCGACCCAGCCCCATGACGGGGTGGGGAGGAGGCCCTGGGAGGGGCCGTCACCGAGGAGCTTGAAGACGGCCCTTGTACATCGGGGGCGGCGGCCTCAGGACAAGGTCGCTCCACCCTTGAGCACACCTAGGGCGCCTCCGGCGGGGATCTTTTGTGAATCCCTCCTTGGAGGTGTTTTCAGAACCCTCCCCTTCCCAGTCCCCACCATGTCCCCAGAGTCAGAGCGGGGCTGAGGAGGAGGGGCACACACAGCGGTGCCGCCCCGTGCCCCTGGGCTGGCTGGGGGTCTCAGACGTGGATGTCCCCTAGGACCACGTCCGTCTGGCCCATCCCCAAGGCCACCTTGGTATGCCAGCCGTCCAGTCGCCTGCGGGAACTGGCCACCCCGAGGGTCCGGAACAACATATGGAGCATAAACATGTCCGAGGTAGGTGGCTTTTCCGGGAGGCTCCCCAGCGGGCCGGGGGCCAGAGGCCCAAGGACCAGAGGGAACAGACGCCAGCACAGCAGATGTATAGCGGCTCTCGTGAACCCTCGGAATTTCTGGGACTCGCTCGGGAAGAGGGTCCCTCCTCCTCTCACGTCGGCCTTGAAGCCCCCTGGGGTCGTCCTCCCCGCCTACGTCAGCTGAGTGGGGCCCAGAGCCTCCTGCCCCGACGCGGGCGCCAGAAAATCCCGTTTCAGAGACGACGGAAACGTTCAGTCTTTTCCACACCACACGCTTATCCCTCTCCCCACAGAGGGGTCCCCTTCTCCCAGCTCAGGCCGACAGGTGACCTCTGAGAACCCTGACCTTCTCCCCAGGACCCCACGTGGAGGGAGTCCCCCGGCCTGTCGTCTGCGTCCACTTTCTTCCCTCAGCGTGCCCTGTCTGACACTCTCGCATAGGTTAGAATCCGATCCTGTTGTCTGGGTGGACCACACTCACCCGCTGGAGGACACGGGGGTGTTTCTAGTTTTTGGCGATTGCAAACACAGCTGCTATGCACACTTGTGCACAGGTGTCTGTGGGGGACGTTTCCGCATCCCCAGGGGAATTCTGGGTGGGATGGTGGGGTCTGGGGTTCATCCCACAGCCTGCTCTCCAGAGTGGCCGCCCCGTTGTGCGTCCGCACTAGCATCGCATCATCTGTCGAACTGTTTGTTTGTTTATTCATTGACGTAGGGCCGTCCTGACAGACCTGTGGTGTGTCTTGCTGTGGTTTATGTGCATGAAATGATGCGTTGGTGGATCTTTTCGGTGGTTGTTTACAGATCGCCCACTTTGGAAAACATTTTTAAAGTAAAGCCAGACATCAAACCATTTCTCTTTTATTTATTTATTATTTTTGTGAGGAAGATCGGCCCTGAGCTAACATCTGCCAATCCTCCTCTTTTTGCTGAGGAAGACCGGCCCTGGGCTAACATCCGTGCCCATCTTCCTCCACTTTATATGGGATGCTGCCACAGCATGGCTTGACAAGCAGTGCGTCGATGCGCGCCTGGGACCTGAACCGGCGAACCCCGGGCCGCCGCAGTGGAGCACGCGCACTTAACCACCTGTGCCACCAGGCCAGCCCCCTTTTCTCTTTTAAACACTTCAGGATGTGTTTCTAATAGACGAGGACGTTTTAAAAACGCAGCCAGAATAACAATGATCACACTAAAAAAATTGAACAGTAATACCTCAATATCAAAATACTCAGTCCGTGTTCAGTTTTCCCAGATGTCCCCAAACTGGCTTTTTGTGGTCAGTTTGGCTGAATCAGGATCCAAAGGAGGGCACTGCCCTTTCCACCTGTCCCTCCTCCGGCCCGTCCCTCCTCTCACTGGCCATGCACCTGCTCTGTCCCAGCTCCCTGCCTTCCCTTTGCTGTTCAGCCTTCAAGCCCCTGACACCTCATCTCCTCTGGGCTCCAAAGCCCTCTCTGGCTCCCCAGTACCCCTGGGAGAGTCCAGATTCTCGAGCCGGGAATCGAAGACTCAGCAGGATTCAGCCCTTCTCAACCTCTCGACCCCACGGGAGGAGACCAACGTGGGTTCTAAACGCAGGTCCCTCCACAGGCCTCCTGGCCTTGGCACACGCAGGCCCCTCTGCCCACAAACCTCTCCCACCTGCATCCGGCTCCTCTGCCCTCAGGACCCTTCTCCTCCCCTGCCCTCCATTCCTGCCCCGTCCGCCGGGCACACAACCTCCAGACTCTCACGCCCACCACGCTCCATCCCGGCCCCGGTCACGTGTCTGTGGACGGACTGTACATTCTTCCACCAAGCCGTGAGCCCCCCGAGCGCAGGGACGGCCTCCTGTGGTGGTTGTGGTGTGACTTCAGAGCCCGCCTGGCCCGCGCCGGTGGAGTGGTCATCACCGTTAGTCGATGCGTGAACGCGTCTGTCCACCCCTCCTGGCGGGGCCCCCTGGAAGGCGGGACTGAAACCCCGTTCCTCTCTCCTCAGGCCTGAGCTGGGCGGCCCCAGGGGGAGAGGGGAGGGCGGAGGGAGAGAATATTGATTGGGGCACGAAATTTTCAACCCCAGGATGTCCTTGAAAAGAGCGGTGACCATCATCTTTAAGGAGGACAATTTCAGGAGGAAAGAGACTCAAGTTCAGAGTGACCTTAGAGGTCGTTTCAGCCCATCTCTGCCTCCACGGGGGCTCCTGCCGGAGCTGTATGGGGCAGGGGGCGTTTGCAGGACATTAAATACACAAACACGCCGGCCCCATCAGACACGCGGGCACCCGCTCCAGCATCCGGCGGATTTGCAGGAGGGGACTCCTCCTCCTTTTCTCTTTTTTTGCTGAAGAAGATTGGCTCTGAGCCCGTGCCCATCTTCCTCCACTTTATATGGGACGCCGCCACAGCATGGCCTGACAAGCGGTGCGTTGGTCCAAGCCCGGGATCCAAACGTGGGAACCTCGGGCCGCTGAAGCGGAGTGCACGAACTTAACCACTATACCACGGGGCGGGCCCCTAGAAACAATATTTCACAGCTGCGTTGCGTTGTATCATGTGAAGGCAGCACTATTAACTTACCCAGTCCCCTCCTGATGGACAGCCAGCTTGTTGGCTGTGATAAGCAAGCTGAATGATCCGTGCTCACCTCCCCGTGCTCTGCTGTTGGCTTTTCCTTACACAGCGTCAGCCCGTGTGCACGTGAACTGTGCTCGAGACGGACAGGCTGCTCTCAAACTGCTGGTGCTAATTTGCTCTCCTCCCTGCCAGGCACGAGGATTTCTCTCCTCCCACATGCCTGCCAGGGCTTGGTAGTGTCAGACTTTCGCATTTTTGCCAAATTTGTTGGTGTGGAGTGATATTTTGTGGTTTGAATGTACCTTTCCCTGGTCCACAGAGAGGAGGACGGACCATTTAGGTTACTCTTGTATATGACTAGCCCAGTCCCCTGCTGGTGTTTTGGGTTATTGATTTAGAGGAACTCTTTATATATGATGGCTACCAATCCTTTGCTGAACACATTAGTCTTTTTGTGTTGCTTATGGGGTCTTTTCAATCCCGGGGCCGCTGAGGAATCATGGACTGCTCTGCTCTGCCCTCTAATTCTGTGTCTAGGTGTCCCAGGTGTCCAGGGCAGCCCAGAAGGCTGTCCCCAGTCCCAGGATCCTCCAGCTGGCAAAGCCCAGGGCTGCAGCCCCCCTGTTGGCAGAGTGGGATCCCGTGCTGAAGCCCAAGCCCTACGTGTCTGACTACAACCGCCTCGTCCACTTGGCCAGTGAGTGGGGCCCCTGGGGCTCGGGTCCCTATGAGGCTTTGTCCTTCCCCACTGGACTCGGACCATGGGGGGCTGCTTCTGCCAGGTTCCTGCTCCCTCTTCCTCTGGCTCCTCCCGAAACTGCAGACCAGTCGCCCAGATCCCTGGGGACAGTTCCTGCCACAGCCCGAGGGCTCTCCTGGGGGCTGGCAGGGGGTCGCCCCCCAGGGAGGGGCGGAGAGCCGAGGGGCCGTGGTCCTGACCCAGCGGGTGTCTGAGCGGCTCCCCCTCAGGGTGAGTGGGTGCAGAAGAGAAGGTCAGGGGGCCAAGCTGGGGCACAAAGGCAGCTTTAAAACAGGGGGTCCCGATCCTCGCCTGTGCTTTAGAACAAACGGAACAGCCGGTTCCCCGGACAGAGATAACATGTGCTAATCGTAGAGAGTCTGGGAGACGCAGAAGAACATAAAGAAGAAGGAATCCCGCCCGCAAAGACAGTGCAGTTTGTGGGTGTCCTTCCAGGCACAGGGGGCATGGACAGAGATCCGCAGTCGTGCACAGCCACATGTATACGCTCGCAAGTGTCCATCCTTCCCTGCCTGGCCCCTCCCGTCGCGTGTCACACACCCCACGTCCAGGGCACCGAGAACTCCCAAGGGCTCTGCTCTCTGAGTAGTCAGGAGCCCACCCCCTGCTCTCGCCCGGCCGCCCCCTCCTGGGCCTGTCGTCGGACCCTGGACCAGAGCCGTCACCTCCACCCGTTTCCCACGTGGCGCCTGAGGGGTCCTGCTGAACCTGGTTTGGGTTACACCCTCCGCTGCATGAGCCCCCCGGGCCCTGCCTCGCTCAACCCCACACGCCCTGTCATCTGTCCTCTGGCCTGAAGGCGCCCCGGGATCCTCTGACCCCCACACGCTTGGCTGTAGCCTGCCCTCTCGGTGAGGCCCCCCAGGCACCCCGCTTCACTCCACGAGCCAGGCCCACCCGGCCCCTGAGAGCCTGCCCTGCTCTCCTGGCTCTCTCTCCACGGCGCCTGCCGCCATCCAGTAACTTGACGGTGTATTCTTGCATCTGTTTACCGTTTGCAGTCCGTCCTGTGCGGGCCCACGAGGTCACAGGCTTTGTGTCTGCGTCCCCTGCTCCTGCACATAAATGCCAGAGGGTTCGACTGGCCGTGCGGTCACTCTGCAGCCTTGATTCCTCACTTCCCCTTCTCTGGTGTTTTTGGTTGTTGATTTCGGGCAGCTCTTTATATAAGATGGTCACGAATCCTTTGTTGAGCACATTGCAGAATACCTTCTCCCAGCGGTCTCTTTTCTTTCAACTTTGCTTATGGGATCTTTTTTTTTGTTCGTTTATTCATTCATTGATCCATCCTCTCGATATTTGTTAACGGAATGGTTAAATGAGCGGAAACACCTGAAAACAGGTGCACTGCTGTGTTGGACCGTCCTGCTGCTCTCTCTTGCGTACGCCACAAACGCACGTCGGGAGTATGAATAGACGTACATTCGCACACACACGTAACCTTCATCTGTGGGTCAGGTGTCCGTGTAAACATACCCCCGTGTGTGTGTGTGTGTGTGTAAGAATCACATCACGTTGTGTTTTTCAAGCAGCAGACTCCCTCCCACTAACGGCTGTGACCAGCGTTGTAAAAAGTGGAATGAGGCAGCTGAGGTGCTGGGCCTCCGCGGGTGTGAACGAGTCCATGGCCACTTTGTGTGTCCACGTGTGCTGCCTGGCAGTGGACTCGGTCACTGCTCTAAGTTGAGGTCAGCAGAGTTCAGGAGCCCGGATGTCCAGGGGCGGACATGCTCCTGAACCCTCACAGAGGAGTTCAGGGAAGCTGGTTCAGGCCTGGTCCTCCCAGCCCCCGACGGCCACTGAGGCCCAGCTGCTCGGCCCCTTTCCTTTGGCTGGGTCCCTGCACAGACCATCTGCACAGCAAATCTCTGGTCCAGCCCTGATGGCCTTGCCCAGCCATGTGCCCGGCGTGGCCTTGTGCCTTCCTGGCGGAGGGAGCCCCACTTTCTTTCCACCCAGGGCTCTCCTGAGGCCGGGCTTGTCTGCTGAGAAGGGGACGGTCCTCTCCCACGTGCACAGAGGCTCTGGGCAAAGAGGGGTTCGGAAGGAGGCTGTAGCCCTCAAAACCGAGGGTCTCGAAGCTCCCAGAGACTGAAGGCTGAGGCAGTGTCACCGGTGGTCATCTCTCTAGGCCCCGCAGGCCGTGCCTTGCAGCTGTCGCCCCAGGAGGGGTGGCGGAGAGGTGGAGAGGGGGGCAGACCAGGAGGAGGGGCCGGGGCACCAGGAGGGGAGATGCAGGGGCCCGGCTGAGCCACGGGTCTCTGCTTGTGGGGGCTGTGTGTCCACCAGGGGCCACTCCAGGGACATTAAAATCAACCCATCAGTTGACTTAAGTAAATTAATTGATCTTATTGACATTTAATAGAATGGAACTCCAGCCCCTGGCAGGTGCTCTGCAGTCTCGTGCAGCGGGAGCCACGTCGGCCGGGGCAGAAGGTCTAGAGGGCCCAGCGGTGCACCGAGGGCAGGAGCCCCAAGGGACAGGGGGGCCGAAGCCGAGAAGCCGAGGCCGAATCCTGAAAGGGCCCCTGTCCGGGGCCTGCCCCCTCGGTCCACCCGCCAGGCCTGCAGCCCCGGAGAGGGACGCCTCCCACACCGTCCCTCCCGCCGTCCCCACTGTGACATCAGAGGAGGAGTAGAGGGGTGACAGGGCCACCGAGCCCGTCCTCGCACCCTCCCCGCCCCCGGCCATCAGGGTGCTTTTGCTGTCCCTGTCTGGGACCTGTGGCCATGTGAAATATTTTTTTCTGTACAGTTCACCCTTTTTTTTTTTAAAGATGAAGATTTCTTTTTTTTAATGAAAGCATTTTTCTTTATTGAGGAAGATTGGCCCTGAGCTAACATCTATTGCCTGTCTTCCTCCTTTTATCCTTTTTTTCTCCCCAAAGCCCCAGTAGATAGTTGTATGTCATAGTTGCACATCCTTCTAGTTGCTGTATATGGGATGCAGCCTCAGCACGGCTTGATGAGTGGCGAGTAGGTCCTCACCCGGGATCCGAACCCATGAACCCCAGGCTGCCGACGCGGAGCGTGTGAACTTAACCGCTATGCCACCGGGCCGGCCCCACAATTCACCCTTTGAAAGTGGGCACTTTGATAGTTTCTAGTACATTCACAGATTTGTGCACCCGTCACCACGATCTGTTTTAGAACATTTTCATCACCCCAAAGAGAGCCCCCCGCCCGTTAGTGCTCGCTTCTGTTGAATAACCAAAACTCAACTGAGTAAATCCTGAAGGTCGAGCTGGCTTTAGTGAGCCATTCACGGATCTGGCAAAGAGAAAGGGGCTCTGAGGACCCACTCAAAGTGGAGACAGAACGGGGACAGGGGGACGAGTGGGTCACGGCGTCCTCCTTTGGGGGCTGGAGAGGGTCCGCCTGGCAGATGAGCTCACTGTGCTGACCAGAAAGCCCCAGAGTGACCAGTTAAAGGCTCCAGTCCTGGGAGGTGGAAACTGCAGCTGGGTTGGGTATTAGGTCTTGGTTTGCAGCTGTGGGCTGCGCACAAGTGACTCAATTTTGGGCCTGTTGTCTCTTTTTTAACAATTCCCCCATCCCCCCCCACCCCCTGACAACCACGAACCCCCTTTCTGTCTGTGGATGGGCCTGTTCTGGACATTTCACATCAGTGGACTCACACACTGTGTGTCCTTCTGTGTCTGGTTCTCTCACTGAGCATCGTGTGTTCAAGGTCCGTCCGTGGTGTGGCTGTGTCAGGGCTTCACTCCTTTTCATGGCTGCATTGTATTCCACTGGGTGGACAGGCACGTTGTGTGGATCCGTTCTTCCATCGCAGGACGGGCCACTGGCCTTGGGAGCTTAGACTAGAAGGTTGGTCTTGTAGGAGGAGGGGCCCCAGCCCCTGACGCTGTCCCTCTCTCCTGCCCCTCCAGTGCCCAAGGCCCAGTCGGACAAGTGTGTTCCTGACCGAGATCCGCGCTGGGAGGTGCTGGACGTCACCAAGAGGGCAGTGGCCAGTCCCCGCATCGTCTCCCTGGCCCAGCCCAAGGTGCGCAGGGACCTCAACGAGGGCTACGACCCCCACTCCATCTCCCCGGCCTCCCTGGTGGCCCGGGCGTCCCCTCGCCTCCGCGAGCTCGCCACCCCCAAGAGTATCACCAGAAAAGTGTGAGCGACCCAGGCCCGGCCTCCGAGACCCCGTTCCCAGTAAACACCCAAGTGCATCCTAACCCTGTGTGTGTGGCTGGCTCCGAGCGCCTGGGCCTGGAGGCGGGGGGTGGCTGGACGGCCAGCACGTCGAGGAGGAGGAATAATAATAATATTTATGTTGGTACCCAGCCTGTGGTTTGTCCGACCCTTTTATTCTCCACGTCACTTTCACCTGCCATCTTGGGCTTCTCTGAGGCTGGACCTCAGCCTTCCCCAACTCCAGAATTTTCCCTCTGGCCCTCTTACGTCCACACTGGCTCATCCAGCCACGTCCCGGGGGTCCGCAAGCACCTCAGACTCAGAGAGACCTCCAGGAGAAAACCAGCTAACGCCTGTGGCCTGACTTATGATCTTTACAGCAACTCAGTGATGGGGGTTGTGATTGTCCCCATTTCACAGAGCTGGAGACTGAGGCTCAGAGAGGTCGGGGAAGACCCATCGTCCCCGTATGAGTTTCCTGCGGCTGCTGTGAGAGACCACCACAAACAGGGTGGCTTCAAACCACACACACTTGTCATCTCATGGTCCTGGAGGTCAGGGGGTCCCACACGGGCCTCTGCGGACTAAATCCAGGTGTGGGCAGGGCTGTCCTCCCAGAGGCTCTAGGGAGAACCGTCTCCTGCCTTTTCCAGCTTCTAGAGGCCACGTCCTGGGCTCGGGGCCCCTTCCTCCGTCTGCACAGCCCGCAGCGCAGCGTCTCCCGTCTCGCTCTGCCTCTGACCCTCCTCCTCCCTCTGATGAGGACCCTGTGATGACATTGGGCCCCCGGGGATCCAGGGTCATCTCCCCTCTCAGGGGCCTTGACTTAATCCATCTGCAAAGTCCTCTCTGCCACATGAGGTGACACATCCACAGGGCCTGGGACCAGGACGGGGACGTCTTTGTGGCCGTTACTCAGCTGACCACAGTGAGACAGACATCTTTTCTCTCTCTGAAACCCTGGATGAAGTCCCATATTTCGCTGGCTCTGACTGGGCCACTTGGGGACCAGCGTCTGGGTCGGGATCGTGTGATGTGCTGATGGCGAGGCCAGCCCTCTACCAGTGTTCTCTCAGAGACGGAGCCGTGAGCCTGAGAATCCAAATTATTACCAGACTCTCAGTTCTCTTAGGATATCAATTCATTCAATGATCAAAAGATCATTTATTGAGCAACTTAGAGGAGCAGACCCAGACAGGTGTCCAGAAGAAAAAGGTTAAAAGACCCTCATCCTCTTGAATGACAGGAAGATGCAAATCGACAAATAAGTGATGTTCGAGGAGGCCGGGCACCTCGCTGAGTAAGTGGCTCTTGAAGACGGGCAGGGAGGTGACCCCTCATTTGTTGAATGAAGGGATGGGGTCGCGGACCCTCTCTGTGTTGCTCTGGTGGGCACAACGGGAACAGGAGGGAGAACTCTGCAGGAGGCAGTTGAAATAAGAACATGAGCGGATCCCCCAAGACTCCAGCCCAGCGAGGTTGTGCGTTCCCATCCCGGAACGGGGCGTTCTCAGTCCGAGCTCGGACTGTGTGGTCAGCTGAGTCCAGTTCCAGAGACGCCCGGGTCCTAACCCCCAAAATCGGGGAATGCATGACTTTATCTGGCAAAAGGGGCTTTGGGGGATATAATGGGATGTATATAAAGGGACAGATGGAGTTAAGGACTGTGACATATGGAGATTATCCTGGATTACCAGTGGGTCCAAGATAATCACTCGTCCTCTTAAGAGGGAGGCAGAGGGAAATCTGGCTTCAGAGAAAGAAGGTGTTATGACCCCAAAGCAAGATGTTATGCCCTGGATTTGAAGCTGGAGGAGTTCGGCCCCAGAAGGAAGCACATCCTCCCCCCGGGGCTCCAGAGGGAGCAGGGCCCTGCCGACACCCAGACGTCTGCCCCGTGAACCTTCTGACCTCCTGATAACAGACGTGCGGAGTTTTAGCTACTCAATTAGTGGTGGTCTGTCACAGCAGCAAGAGGAAACTCAGGCGGGTTGGAAGTCATCAAGGTTGACCGAAAAGGCAGAGTCTGAAGACCCTTTCCTGTGACTGCAGTGGAGCCGGCCCCTCAAATGACGCACTTCAAATGACACGCTTCCACCAACACGGGGCGTTGACCTGGGGTTCTCAGCCGTAGCGACCTTCCAAACCAACAGAACAGGACTTTAAACCAACCGAGTGTCCAAAATGGCACGCACGTTCTCTTGCCAAAGACCACCTCACCTTGCAGTGTTCTTGTTCAAGCCGAGAAAAACTTCACACTGACGGAGCTTTGAAAATTGAAATGTAACTTTAGGGGAGTGACGTTAGCATCAAGGTGGAGGGAGCTATCCCCTCTGTCTCTCCCCCTAAGTTACGACTAAACGGAGATCCACTAACCAGCAGAGGATCCTCCACACAGCACAGCAGGACGCCTGAGAGGTCCACGCAGCCGTGCATCTGGAGGTGGGTGGGCTGGACCCCCGGGAGGCAGTGGGACCAGGGGAGTGGCCCCCTCCCCCTCCCTGGGGGCAGCGAGCCAGGTCGAGGTCCTCACACAGTGGCCAGCATGACTGTGAGTGGAGGTGGGGGCAGCCTGGCCTGTGCACAAACATTTGTGGAGTGGCAGTGGCCCACCCCACGCAGGTGCCCACTGAGCCATGGTGAGTGGCGGTGGTCTGGCCTGTGCCAACACAGAGTGGCCCGACTGGCACAACTATGAGCAGATGGGGCAGGAACAGGAAAAACAGCCCCCTGCCACCCCTGCCTCTGCCGTGGCAGGTGGAGTCTGTGGCCAGAAGCATCAGAAGCCACAGCAGAAGAGGTGACCCAGCCCTGCTTCACCAGCCAGGGGGGCTGCATATGAGTCCCTGGGTCCCTGGGCTCCCACCAGTGACGGCACACCTGTGAACACAGCACCCCTGGCAGCAGTGCAACCAGCACCCCAAGACAACCTGGGAACAGCAGTGCAGGTGGTGCACGGGACAGCAGTGTGTGAGCCCACGGAGAGCCAGTGGAGGAACACAAGACCCGGGCAATCAGAACCAAAGTAACTGAAGCCTGACCCAAATAAGAGAAGGCCGTGACTACCACAAATGTGCCCCAGCAGAGGATCAATTCATCAAACAGCATGAAGATCTACAGTACAGCAACACAGCAGAACAGAAGGAAAATGACAACTCTCCAGAAACCAAACCTGAAGTCACAGACGATTACAATCTGATAGAGAACTCAAGACAGCTGTCCTAGAGAAACTCAATGAGTTACAAAACACTCAGAAA